AAGGGAGGGGTGGGGAGGAGGAGGAGGAGGAAAGGAAAAAGGGGAGGATGGGATAGGGAAGGGGGGATTGGAGGGTAATTAGGTTCGGTCTGAGGAAGGAGACCGACAGGTCTAATTCCTCAGACCAAGAGCCTCTTCACCACGCCAAGGAGCCCCCCTTGAAGAGGACAAATTTCAAAAGATGCCAATTTCCGAATAGGGTCCAGAATAAACAAGAAAGACATTCCTGGAACTAAAATGACATTTCCTCTGTTCATCAGTCACATCCCAGCGCCCCTCTTACATTCTTTTGCTTTCTACTTTGAATTTTTATTCTCACAAAAAAAAAAAAAATAGAAGATTTCGTTAGCAGACTACTGCAAATTTGGGGTAGAAAAGGTATAAATATTATCAGCGCAATTGTGGGAAAAAATATTTAAAATCACCCGTTGCCCTGTATTGGAAAGCATAGCATAAATTTTTTTACTTTTTAAAATTTCGTAAAAATCAAAAATTTCTGCTTTCTTTGAGCACAATTTTTCAAGGTACTTTTTTTTGTAAAAACCCTTTAAAAAACATCTAAAATTTTTGTAATATGTCTTTTCCTTCTATTTAAAAAGGGGAACCCGGAAAAAATAGAAAACAACAAAAAAATACCATAGGGAAAAAATACAGTTTCAAAAGTCGCTGTTTTAATCCAAAAACATGGTCAAAGATTTTTTCTCTCATTACGCACTGTGTGCTGCAGGATTTTTTTATACCATGCATACTGACCACATAGACCCATTCTTTCATATGTAGGCCTACCAGCTTTCTCACTAGATTTGAAGGCACTAGAATTTAGGCATACTAGTACGTCAAAAACCCTGGTGCGTAAGCTGTACTAGTACGGCCGAAACCCTGAAAGGGTTAATAGCGGCAACAATAAAAAGAATTAGTTTTAATAACATAAGTAATTATTCAATATGTGAGAGGATCATAAAGGTTACAGAAGCATATATAATAATGAAGATAATGAACATTATGGCAGTCTTGCAAAGCATGGACCTTTACCTCTATATAGGCTCTTGGCTGCTGAACATGCAATCCTTGATAATGAATGACATTAAGTTTAGACAGTAATGAAGGAAGCTGAGGCATATACTTAGTCTCCATAGCCTAGTTCAGACAAAACTAAGTTCAACCAATTAAGACAGGAGGTTTTAGAAAAGCTATGCAGCACTTCCACAATATTCAGCATTCAAAGAGGCCATGAAGTTTGACTGCATAGTAGGCCCTCCACCTCACTTTCTTCCAATCTGAAGACCCACAAGTAGCAAATTTCCTAAACAACATACGTTTATTACATCAGTAACCACACTTATGAGATTTACCATAAATAATGATGGACTAATATAGTAGCTCCTCAAAAAGCAGGCAGTATTTCTGACAGAACAGCCTATCATCCCACCTTTCTAGTTGGCAATGATTAAATTATAAACATTAGTGAATAAGTATGTTGTGCTATCTGTTCAACTATCAGAACTGCCTGTAAAGTGCACACAAGTTGGTAATTGAGCCAATTTTACACAAAAATCAGCAAATTCTAAAAAAACACTGGATATTCCAGCCACTTAAGCAACATTTACTTTGTTTATTAATCACATCTGCAGGTCTCTCCTATATAGCACTTGCTCTCCATTTTGAAGCCATCATCACAAAAAACTAGTTTTACCTTATTTCTTGGGTAATTAAATGTGACCAAGAATGATCGGTCAAGATTTAGGCCATCCCTGTAATTGAAGCAGACTTGGTAAAAGGCATGAAATAGATGGGGGAAAGGGGGGGGGAAATATCAACCCTTCCTTTGGAAAATTGCCAAAATCCAATATTTCCACATATTTCAAGACACAGTCTAAAAACAACCAAAATTACCTCTATTTCATTAACATGCTTTCCATTGTATCATTGGATACCAGGAAACAGCCAATAAAATAAAAAAAAACACCTAGAAAATTCCTCAAACTTGCTATTGTAAAAACCACACAAGATCAAAAGGTTTACTGTTCTCATTATGCACTGTGGGGCAGGGTTATTTTTACACTGCATATCCACAACATAGACCTGTTCTCTCGAATATGCTAACAGCATATTTGAGGTCACTGTGATGAAAACCTAGATCTACATGAACAATCCTGGCATCAGTAATGTAGATCTACATGGGAGACAGGGAAAGGGTTAATCTACCCTTATTTCACCTAGGATATATGTGCATGGAGATCAAGAACATCAAATTATCTGAAACCAATTATAAACCTACAAAAATCTTCTACTAGTATGATCACTTAATCTGATTCCAGATAAACCCACCCAACCACCACTACTCGATTTTAACTAACTTCAGATACAAAGCATCCTCAGATACTGCTGTGCATACTATATATGTGTATACAAAACACTCAGTACAAATATTAACTCTTAAGCTTAAGCATTTCCTGGAGAGCTGCAACAGATCACACAGGCATAATGATAGAAGTAAGTATCTTTTGGGTATTCCATGTTGGTTTAGCTTCTTTATTTGATTAGAATAATTTGGGTATTCCATGTGTCAGACTTAACCTGAGTCAACACTCCATGCAGATGAATGTACCCAAAATTTGGAACAACCTACTTGAAGCTTCAAAATGTCCAAAAAAAAATTGAACTTGTAAAATATAACTATCATAAATGTTTACTTTGTCACTAGCTTATTGAATTGCTACCTTCATTATGAAATTATGCTGAATTGTCACACAAACTATAAAATGTTATAACCCTTAACTAAATACCTGTATTATTAAGTATGGTCGACTCTTGGAAGTTGTGCAACCCAAGCTCATGTTTTCAATATCAGAGTACGAAGCATCATATTGGTATTAGACATGTATGATCAGAGCACTGAGTCTTAACTGCATAGTCTCACTATGAGATAGGTGGTACAGACCCCAGTGCCCTACTCTTCACCAACCCACATTTCCCATACCTAACACCAACCTCCATTTTTCACACCCATCTGCCCACATGTTCTAGGCCACATGTTCTTTTACCCATCCCCTTATCCACATGCCCTTAACCTCCTGCCCATATGCCAGAGGGGAAGGGAGCAGCTTTGGACTAATACTTTCATCCAACATCAGACCCCCCACCTTCATCCAGCCCAAAGCTTCACCTTCCCTTATCCTTGTGGGATTAGTGATTAGTTTTGCTTGTAATAATAATACAGTGGACCCTTGGTTTTCATGTTTAATCTGTTAGAGAGCCATCGGCCAAAACCAAAACCATTTTTCCCATAATAAATAATGTAAATGGAATTAATTCGTTCCAGACACCCATAAGTATCAACAAAAAAAAAATTTTTCCTTTAAATATACATTTACATGCACAAAAGAATGAACATTAAACAAGACACTTACCTTTATTGAAGGCTGTTGTTGCTGGAAGGAAGACAGGGAGGGAGAGGGAAGATAGGTTATTGTTTGGAAGGGGAGTCCCCCTCCATAAGGATTCTAGGTACCAAGTCCTTATCCTTCCTTTGTTTTTTACTGGCACTAGGACCAGCTTGAGAGTCACTGGACCCCTGTCGCACAAAAGATCTGTCCAGATAGATCTGTTTCTGGCGTCTCTAAGATTTGCCTAAAATGGGACATGGCATTGTCATTGTAAAAGTCACCAGCACGGATTGTAACAGCTTTCTCAGGGTGATGTTCCTCCACAAATGAATGCACTTTAGTCTACATTGCACAAATCTCCTTAATCTTTGAAGAAGGCACCTTCTTCCATCTCTCTTCCTCCTCTGAAGCAATTTCCTTTTGGACACAATCTGACCACAATTTTCTCCAAGCAGAGTTCATCATCCTGGAAGTCACTCCTTGCCAAGCCTTATCTATAAGGCCTATGCAGTGGAAGATATTGAAGTGATTCTTCCAGAACTCTCTTAGGGTCAAAGCACTAGCACTAGGAGCTTTCTTTGGGGCCATGGGTGCTAATTTAGTAGTCACACACGATAAACAAATGGCAAAAACAATGGATTATTATGAAAAGTTTTGTATGACCTGGGAGGATATGTTTACTGACCGAGAAACAACGCTACACTGGCTGAGAATGCGTGCGGGAGGCGGCTTTGTCTGCACGCTGGGGACTGGACAGGTTCCGTACGATCGATGAAAACGGAGATAATCGACGAAAACTAAAGCCAAAAATCGACGAAAAAGTCGACCAAAACTGAAATTGGGGATAACAAAGATCGATGAAAACCAAGGGTCCACTGTAATACAATTGACCTCCCTATCCCCCACCTTCATCAGGCCCCAATGACACTCATTATCGGCCCACTCTCTCACCTATATCCCCCCTCCCCACAATTTCACAGACCTTCTCTCCTCACTTGCGCCCACCTATCCCCCCCTAAACACACTCACATCTCCTTGCCCACGCACAATTCATGTACAAGTGAAGGGAACTTGGGACAACAGCTACAGCATGTACCCACAGGCTACTATCACCGTACGCTCAAAACTTCACTCACCCTTCTTCACCCAGTACCCTATTTTCACTAGCTTGCACACCCCTACCCACTCACTAGTTTGCAATCCCTCACCTATACTTTCTCACCCAAATATCAGCCGCCTGTAGCCACACCAACACCCATACTCCCCATGACACGGTGGCAGCATGCATACACTTCACCCGCATACAATCAACTTTCTGGCCACCCTTACATCTGCCACCACACTGACACCCAGCTTAATCAATGCTGTGGATGTAGAATGGTGACTGACAGACTTCACCATTTCACCATGTAAACTGAATTGCACTGTGTTCACTGAAAATATACTGCAATCACTGCAGTCATGTTATAGTGAAAACGTATTAACAGATTGTATGTTATCCAATGATCTACTGTATTTTTATTAGTCATGAGGAGTGGTAAACTCGTATGGTTATATAGTACAGGGGAAATGGGGTAATCAGGTTTGATCCAAGGAAAAGGAAGGCAAGTTCAATTCTTTGTATAAAAAGCCATCACTGGTATAATGAACCTCCCTTGAGGGAGCACAGATAAACAACAGCAAGAGCCGACAAGTGAGAATAAAGACACTGGAAGCACAAGTCCCCTCAAGGAAGGTTCCTTGATGTTGGTGAGGGGCTCTTGATTTAGGGAATTGGATCTGTGCTCCAGTTCCCCGAATTAAGCCTGAATGCCTTCCACATCCCCCCCCCCAGGCGCTGTATAATCCTCCGGGTTTAGCGCTTCCCCCTTGATTATAATAATAATAATAATGGAAGCACAAGTTCCTCTGCTGCCAGTGTTGAGGAACCATCAATGTTTGTTTGTTGTAATAATAATAAGCACTTCTTCATGATTATAATAATTTAAAAGTAAGTTCATTATTACAATTCTGAGTTATTTTCTACACCTAAGAAAGTTGATGAAGCAGGAAAGCAAAATTTTTATTATGAATCACAAAGCTAAAGATTATACTGTGGCTGGACAAACTCAGCAAAGACCTGCACCAAGGAGACAAACTTATGATGTTTCAGTGTGTCTTGGACTATTGTTCAGAAAGGTTCAGAGTGGACAAATATCACATTAATGGTCCTCTCCTAAGTACAGGTTTATGGTGAATTGTTTCCAGCATTAATATAAAGTCAATATAACTTTTAAAACCTCATAAAGGATAAAAGAAACAAAGTGTTCAGCTTCAAATATCTACAATACTAAAATCATAAAAAATTAAATGTGAAATATACAAATAAACTGTGAAATGTAACTTAAATAACTTGATAAAATACTGATGCAGCCACAGTGCAACTTAGTATTCTAGCCAGCAACTTATTCACTTATGAAATATATGGAATAAATATTCAAAGATAATTTAAAGTGTGAACTAAATTAAAATTATTTACCTGCATATGAATTTTAGTGCCTTCAACATATTTATTTTTACTGTACATATGTAACAGATTTATAGCCCCAAGGATGGTGCTCTTTATGATATATATTACTGGTCCAGCATCACACAAATGAGTTATTTCCACAACTTTATATCAAAAAAGTGAAAAATACTTTGAACCAGAACTCTCACTGACATTATATAAAAGGTTAACAACTTATTTTTCATCAGATTTTTAATTATGCACGTATTCAAAAGTCAGTGAAAATAGCTAGCTCAACATCGGAAACTCCTTGTGTTGATCGCCAGTTGTTCTCAGGGTAGTCATCGAAGTTCCTTGTGTCACCATCATAACTCACTTTAGGCACAATGGGAGGCTGCAAGATGCAATTATAAATGTTAATAATACTTCCAGAAAGCAGGTTTATTACATTTTACTTGTACCGTATCTATCTCTGCTCATTTATTTACCACCTGTAATGTTATCTGACAGATTCATCATGACGGAAGCCTCTAGACAGACCTTTCTTAAGTGTAATTCTTGAGTTTGTTTTACAGTGGACCCCGGTTAACGATATTTTTTCACTCCAGAAGTATGTTCAGGTGCCAGTACTGACCGAATTTGTTCCCATAAGGAATATTGTGAAGTAGATTAGTCCATTTCAGACCCCCAAACATACACGTACAAACGCACTTACATAATTGGTCGCATTCGGAGGTGATCGTTATGCGGGGGTCCACTGTATTTCCTATGTGCCATCTTGTACAAATAGTAATTACCCAGAGTGAGAGAGATGGCAAGTATGAGAAAGTTATAACCTGTTGCCATTCTGGCTGCTAGTAAAATGTGTGCTGGCATCAACACCTAAGCAATTTATAACATAAAACAAATAAATAGTTTTCAAGGGAGTGAAACTAGCAACTTGGGTAATAATTGTCAGAACTGTTTGATTTTTGTATTGAAAGTTCAGGGCATGAGGATCGTATCTTAGAAGTTCCATAAAGATTACCTACAAAATTCTGTTATAGTGATACTTATCACACGTTTACTCAAACTTGGGAAGCCAAGTGTTTTAGGCAAGTGTCCAAGGATCAAGTGAAGCTCAACCGATGTTATTGTAAAGGCAAAAGTAAAAAATTACTACATTGGAACCCCGAATATCGGGCATAATCCGTTCCAGAAGGTTGGCCTAAATTCGAAGCAATATTTCCAAAAAAAATTAATATAAATACAATTAATCCGTTCCAGACACCCAAAAAAAAAAAAAAATACATTTTGTAAAGTTTAACTATAGTTTTACATACAAAAAGCAATGACAATTACATATAAATGAACATTTAAACCATTATTACATATCTGTATTGAAGACTTCTGTTGGCACAGGGAGGACAGGAGAGGGAGGAGGAGAGGTTGTTGTTTGGAAGGGGTATACCCCTCCATAATGACTTCAGGTATCAAGTCCCTCTCTGTGGTTACTTTCCTTCTTTGTCTTTTAATGGCACTAGGACCAGCTTGAGAGTCACATCAGCTTCCTTGATTTGTTCTTTCTTTGCCAGGATAGAAGTGATTGTTGATTTGTTTTTGCCGTACATCCTGGCAAGCTGGAGCACACACACCACTCTCGTATTTTTCTACAATTTCTTTCCTCAATTCTATCGTGTTTCTTACTTTCTTTACCAAAGGGCTGGCACTCTGAACTTTCTTTGGACCCATGGTGGCTTATTTCACAGTCACACAGTCACAGTCACAGGTGGGAATCGGCCGGTGTGATAATAAAAAAAATAAAAAAAAAACTTAATAAACAAGCACAAAAATCAATGGATTTTAAGGAAATGTTTGGATGAATGTGCAGAGTATATGCTCATTCACCAAGAGACAGGGATGCTGGGATGCGCAGCATCCCCGCAGGAGGCGGGCTGATGCGTCTCATACAGCTGATTTGTGAAGCACCGGCCGAAATACGGAGCAAAATTTCAGCCCAAAAACCAGCCTAAATATGATGCAGCCGATATTCAGGGTTCCACTGTATATTTTTTAGGGAAAAACAAAGAAGAAAATTCATAATTTGGGGGAGTATAATATAATTTAATGTTCTACTTTTATCTTTGCAATATCATCAGTTGTGGTTCACATGATCCTGTGCACTCACCTAAAACAACTTGTCATTCCCAATTCCTGTGCACTCACCTAAAACAACTTGTCATTCCCAATTCCTGTGCACTCACCTAAAACAACTTGTCATTCCCAATTCCTGTGCACTCACCTAAAACAACTTGTCATTCCCAATTTTGTGTAAACATGTCAGAAAAAAAAAAATATTTTTCATTTTTTTCTAGGAAATCTTCGTGGACCTTTTAGCATGCAGTCATCATATCATTCTGAACTTTCAGTGCAAAAATCAAATGATTCTGACTTATTACCAGGTTGCTAATCTCAACCCCCAACCCCCATTAAGTCCAGAGACATACCTTTAATTTTTTCTGATAGACATCATCCCAATCTATATTCTAAAGAATCTTGTCTCTTGACATACACGCACCATTCCTGCAAAGAATATGGTTGCATTTCAAAATAAAATCTCCCACAGAGATGGAGGTAAAAAACATTCATAACACCAATAATTTAAAAATCTGAAATGAGTAAGCATTTTATGGAAATTAAACAAGTTTTATACATTAACATGATTATTTTATTTGGCACTCAAAATTAATAATAAAACACTATGAAAGGTCACGGTGAAATATGAATACTCATCTTATATTGTGTACTGCCTACTTTGTCTCCCATACAAAATAAAGATATGAACCATTAAGTCTTATTTTATTATTATTTTTTATTATCACACTGGCCGATTCCCACCAAGGCAGGGTGGCCTGAAAAAGAAAAACTTTCACCATCATTCACTCCATCACTGTCTTGCCAGAAGGGTGCTTTACACTACAGTTTTTAAACTGCAACATTAACACCCCTCCTTCAGAGTGCAGGCACTGTACTTCCCATCTCCAGGACTCAAGTCTGGCCTGCCGGTTTCCCTGAACCCCTTCATAAATGTTACTTTGCTTACACTCCAACAGCACGTCAAGTATTTAAAACCATTTGTCTCCATCACTCTATCACACACTCACGATGGCCTGCTGGAAGCCAAGCCTCGCACACAAAACCTCCTTTAACGCCTCCTCCAACCTTTCCTAGGCTGACCCTACCCCCTTCCTTCCACTACAGACTGATCCACTCTTGAATCACTCTGTTTCGTCCATTCTCTCTAAATTTTCCGAAACACCTCAACAACCCTTCCTCAGCCCTCTAGACAACAGTTTTGGTAATCCCGCACCTCCTTCCTAACTTCCAAAATGAATTCTGCTTTATTCACACCCACATTGCCTCAGACTGACATTCACTGCCTCCACCCTCCCTCGCTGTAACATTCTTCACCCATGTTCACACCCATATAAGAGCGTTGGTAAAACTATACTCTCTTACATTCCCTTGCCTCCACGAACAAAGTTCTTTTTTCAAAAAGACTCCAGAGTGCATCACTCACCCTTTTCCCTCATCAATTCTATGATTCACCTCATCTTTCATAGACCCATCCGCTGAACACGTCCATTCCCAAATATCTGAATACTTATTTCACCTCCTCCATACTATCTCCCTCCAATCTGATATCCAATCTTTCATCACCTAATCATTTTGTTATCCTCATAACCTTACTCTTTCCTGTATTCACTTTTAATTTTCTTCTTTTACACACCCTACCAAATTCATCCACCAATCTCTGCAACTTCTCTTCAGAATCTCCCAAGAGCACAGTGTCATCAGCAAAAAGCAACTGTGACAACTCCCACTTTATGTTTGAATCTTTATCTTTTAACTCCACACCTCTTGCCAAGACCCTTGCATTTACTTCTCTTACAACCCCATCTATAAATATATTGAACAACCATGGTGACATCACACATCCTTGTCTAAGGCCTACTTTTACTGGGAAATAATTTCCCTCTTTCCTACATACTCTAACTTGAGCCTCACTATCCTCGTAAAAACTCTTCACTGCTTTCAGTAACCTACCTCCCATACACCATACATCTGCCACATTGCCCCCTATCCACCCTGTCATACGCCTTTTCCAAATCCATAAATGCCACAAAGACCTCTTTAGCCTTATCTAAATACTGTATCTAACTTATATGTTTCACTGTAAACACCTGGTCCACACACCCCTACCTTTCCTAAAGCCTCCTTGTTCATCTGTTATCCTATTCTCCTCTTACTCTTAATTCTTTCAATAATAACTACACATACACTTTACCAGGTATACTCAACAGACTTATCCCCCTATAATTTTTGCACTCTCTTTTGTCCACTTTGCCTTTATACAAAGGAACTATGCATGCTCTCTGCCAATTCCTAGGTACCTTACCCTCTTCCATACATTTATTAAATAATTGCACCAACCACTCCAAAACTATATCCCCACCTGCTTTAACATTTCTATCTTTATCCCATCAATCCTGGCTGCCTTACCCCCTTTCATTTTACCTACTGCCACACGAACTTCCCCCACACTCACAACTGGCTCTTCCTCACTCCTACAAGATGTTATTCCTCCTTGCCCTATACACGAAATCACAGCTTCCCTATCTTCATCAACATTTAACAATTCCTCAAAATATTCCTCCATCTTCCCAATACCTCTAACTCTCCATTTAATAACTCTCCTCTCCTATTTTTAACTGACAAATCCATTTGTTCTCTAGGCTTCCTTAACTTGTTAATCTCACTCCAAAACTTTTTCTTATTTTTAACAAAATTTGTTGATAACATCTCACCCACTCTCTCATTTGCTCTCTTTTTACATTGCTTCACCACTCTCTTAACCTCTCTCTTTTTCTCCATATACTCTTCCCTCCTTGCATCACTTCTACTTTGTAAAAACTTCTCATATGCTAACTTTTTCTCCCTTACTACTCTCTTTACATCATCATTCCACCAATCGCTCCTCTTCCCTCCCGCACCCACTTTCCTGTAACCACAAACTTCTGCTGAACACTCTAACACTACATTTTTAAACCTACCCCATACCTCTTCGACCCCATTGCCTATGCTCTCATTAGCCCATCTATCCTCCAATAGCTGTTTATATCTTACCCTAACTGCCTCCTCTTTTAGTTTATAAACCTTCACCTCTCTCTTCCCTGATGCTTCTATTCTCCTTGTATCCCATCTACCTTTTACTCTCAGTGTAGCTACAAATAGAAAGTGATCTGACATATCTGTGGCCCCTCTATAAACATGTACATCCTGAAGTCTATCCAACAGTCTTTTATCTACCAATACATAATCCAACAAACTACTGTCATTTCGCCCTACATCATATCTTGTATACTTATTTATCCTCTTTTTCTTAAAATATGTATTACCTATAACTAAACCCCTTTCTATACAAAGTTCAATCAAAGGGCTCCCATTATCATTTACACCTGGCACCCCAAACTTACCTACCACACCCTCTCTAAAAGTTTCTCCTACTTTAGCATTCAGATCCCCTACCACAATTACTCTCTCACTTGGTTCAAAGGCTCCTATACGTTCACTTAACATCTCCCAAAATCTCTCTCTCTCCTCTACATTCCTCTCTTCTCCAGGTGCATACACGCTTATTATGACCCACTTTTCGCATCGAACCTTTACTTTAATCCACATAATTCTTGAATTTACACATTCATATTCTCTTTTCTCCTTCCATAACTGATCCTTCAACATTACTGCTACCCCTTCCTTTGCTCTAACTCTCTCAGATACTCCAGATTTAATCCCATTTATTTCCCCCCACCGAAACTCCCCTACTCCCTTCAGCTTTGTTTCACTTAGAGCCAGGACATCCAACTTCTTTTCATTCATAACATCAGCAATCACTGTTTCTTGTCATTCGCACTACATCCACGCACATTCAAGCATCCCAGTTTTATAAAGTTTTTTCTTCTTCTCTCTTTTAGTAAATGTCTACAGGAGAAGGGGTTACTAGCCCATTGCTCCCGGCATTTTAGTTCGCCTCATACGACACGCATGGCTTACGGAGGAAAGATTCTTTTCCACTTCCCCATGGGCAATAGAAGAAATAAAGAAGAACAAGAGCTATTTAGAAAAAGGAGAAAAACCTAGATGTATGTATATATATATATGCATGTGCGTGTCTGTGAAGTGTGACCAAAGTGTAAGTAGGAGTAGCAAGATATCCCTGTTATCTAGCGTGTTTATGAGACAGAAAAAGAAACCAGCAATCCTACCATCATGCAAAACAGTTACAGGTTTCTGTTTCACAGTCATCTGGCAGGACGGTAGTACTTCCCTGGGTGGTTGCTGTCTACCAACCTACTACCATTAGGTCTTATTGTCTACAATTCCTCATGCACATTAAAAAATAACATTTATGTCATATTCTTCCTCAGGGCTAAAGTACAGTACTTCATTATAGCTACTGTTACAGCCTAAGTGATTATTTTTACATTCAGAGGAGGAAGCTGTGAACTTGGTTCATATAGCACCAACAGGACTGGCAAGGCAATCAAATATGATCTAGGGAAAGGAAGGGTAGTTCCAATTCTTAAGATCAAGATTTCACTTTCTTGAAGGGACATCCCAATTAATAATAACAATAAAAAGTATGAAAATCCATTTTTACATTATGTTATGCTGCAGCAATGTGTAAACAATAATAGTTTGTATATTATACATTAACATTAAGGAAGGCCTATTTTCATGACTGTTAGTGAATAACAGTAATTAATTCCCAGCTACTTAAGACACCTATGGTGCTATTCAAGGTGCTAATCCAGGTACTTAAGTGTTTTATTCTCTGTCTTATTTTATACTTGAAACCATTACTTTTAACTTTGAAATAATCAAGGTGCTAAAGAGTTTTATTTTAATATTCGGTAGCTCCATTATTTTTTAGATTTAAAATAACTATCTTAGTTCATAAGTTCATAATTGTTAGTGGTTCAACTAAGATAATTAACTATCTTAGTTTATTATTGTTAGTGGTTTAACATCACTGCTTTTGTCTTTTTGTTCTTTAATAATTGTATCAGCTAATTCTCTATGTACCCCTTATGAATGCAATTATTGATCCTGATATCAACCTCTAATTGAACAGCACACATAATCCTAACAGTAATTGCCATTACTACACTGCTAGTCAGGTTAATACCCTTCTCAGTGTCAGCAAGAACATTACAATCTTCAACTACAATGTTAGATCATTGAGTAAACACTATGATGACCTCATTGCGCTACTTAAGTCTCTAAATGCTACTATAACTTTCATTATACTTACTGAAGCCTGGCTCAGACACGATCTGACAGATATATTTACCATACCTGGTTACACAGCCATACATAACTTCAGGCCCGACCAATCAGGAGGAGGCACTGCCAACTATTACTCTGATGAACTAGAATGTGTGAAATCAACTAATGTACGGGACAAAAACGATGAATATATAATAGCTAAATTCA